TCACTACTTGAAAGGTGCTGAGCATACATGATAGAATACAATTGAAATAACATATAAATGAACAAAGTAAATAAGCAATGACATAATATGAACATGATATAGATACTGAATGTTGAGATAACTGAATGCAGTGACCAATTTATAACATGCTGAAACTGAATATTGACTATACTAATAAATGGTCAATGCAATAGAATCTGACTGAACTGTGGGAGCTACTAATAATCGATAATAAAACCATATGAGCTAAATGTGGAGTCCGATGTATACGCCTCATCGAGAGGACCCAATATACCCTGCCAGAGGTATAGAGGCATGTTGGCGTGATCACTGAAATGATGCCCACTGAGGGGACTTACAACCTACGTGGCTAGTAGTTTTGGGACTATTTGGGTACGCTGAACCCTAGTCCAACTCGGTATTATGCTACTCCCAATGGTTTAAGCAATTAACACATTATGACTAACTTTTTGTAAGTTACTGGACAGCTCGAACTGAACATGCAAACTGAGAATGCAACAATTAAACTAATAGTGATGCATTAATAACTTAGGCATGTATAACTGGATAACTGAGATATCTGACCTAGAATGTGTAGTTCAAGAACTAAAGAAATACATAGCTAGGGTTCTTAAATTCATTCAATAAATGATGTAATAACATGATAATCTGATTTGGAACATGTTAATAACTAATTCATGATGATCTGTTGTAATTTTAGAAACCCTGGGTCTATTCATAATAAGGGAATCAAGAAACTGACTGAGTTCTAGGGACCTAATTGGTGAAAGGAACCCACTAGTGAAATCCCACATATTGACGATGAATTCCACAGAGAAATCTTTCGATTTTGGTGTTGGAACTGATGGAAATTTATTGCGTTCTTGAACTACGGTTCTGGACCTCTTTTCTCCTCTTACACTCTAAGTTTCTAAGTTTTGATCAACGATTTGATTTAGGTAAGTTCTAGTTATGTTTCTAGACTTAAACTTACTAAAACCTCATAATTTTGGGTCTAAAGAACGTAGTTTAGGGGTCCAATGATCGACGATCCGTCGATGGATCCACCATCCGTCCTGTCAGTCCGTCGATGACTTCAGAGACTAGGTTCTGAGGGTCTCAACCTACGAACTAATCGATGATCTGTCGATGGATCCACGATCTGTCAAGTCAGTCTGTGGGTCTTGCCTTAGAATGGTTTTTGTCTGAATTTCTGGGGATGGTTGTAGATGCGAACCATGAACCACCAGCACGGGTCGTGGGTCACCCTACGGTCCGTGGGTAGCAACCGTGGGTTGCACCTGCAACTTCTGGAAATCTATATTAAGTTCTGTTTTTGGATACGAGGTGTTATAGAAGGGGTGTACAAGCCTTAGCCAGCTAAGGTCATATCTTTCAGGAGGGCAAGGGAACTGGTGTGACAGGGGTGTTTGGCGTATTAGGCTCCCTCTATTGAGTATATTCATGTAGTGTCTGAATTCAAGGAAGTGTTTCCTACCGATTTGCTTGGTATGTCTCTGGATAGAGATATAGATTTATGCATTGACATCGAACCTAGCAGTCTCCCCATCTCCATTCCTCCTTATCGCATGGCTCCGACAGAATTGAGAGAGCCTAAAGCTCAAATCCAGGAGCTTCTTGATAAAGGTTTCATCCGTCCTGGTGCTTCCTCATGTGGTGCTCCTATCTTGTTTGTTAAGAAGAAGGATGGTAGTATGAGACTAGTGATTTTATCTTAAGTCATAAAAGAGTGGATTGATACCGAAATGACAATCTTATAGATAAAGAAAGTCCCATTAAGTATACTTGGGAGAAGGCAATTGAGGATTTTAGTAAGAAAGTGTGTATAAAATAAGGTTAGTCCTTTGAATTTGATGAGTATACCTGAGTTTGAGGTGACATGTCGATGAAAAGATTGACTTCATAGTGATAGCCAAGACTAACTGGCATAATGGTAATAAGAGTGTGGACTTCAGTGGAATGAGGTAAAGATTATGTGGAATCAACTGAATGGAAATGACTGGTATCAACTCTTCAAAGTAATACCTTTAGTGTTATTACATAAAATTCTTATGTTACCATCTATTTCATTTTGTTAATGGTGGTGAGTATGATTCACTAGCTATGCTCACGTGTGTTTTCACTTTTGTGGGTGGATCCCTAGTGGTAGATCAGGTGTACCGATCCTGCGATATTCTCTTGGTTGATTGGATGATTGGGAAGACTTGGTTATTTCAGATGACATACTTGGTGTTGTCTTGGAGTTGTTAAAGTATTTCAGTGGTTCTCCATGTACCACCTTGCTTATGAGAATTTATAGAAGAGCTACCATGCGTATTTATGATTGTCCGATAATCTTAATATTCATCTAGTCGTCGAGGTCTTGTATCAATTATGTATGGTTGAAAGTGGGGATCATTGGATCCAATTCTATTGTTCTTAAGGGTAATCTACAATCACAATTACTAATCTAGCATTTCGATAGTGTTGTTAGAGGATTTGTATGCTTGGACATATCGCTCGAGGGGTGGTGTCTTGACTATTCCTTCTTTAGTTATACAAGTTTGATTCTAACTTAATGAGTACCTCATGGCTAAAGATCAAATTTCTGTAACTTAAACTTGTGGGAAGTTCATGTTGTGAGAAGGAAATTTTTATAAATGCATTATGAAGGGTGTGATGAGGTTCGGTAAGCGAGGTAACTTTAGTTCGAGGTATATTAGGTTGTTTGATGTTCTTAAGCATGTGGTAGAGGTTTCCCATGAATTGGCTTTACCGTAGGGTTATCGGGAGTGCACCCGGTATTTCAACTGTTTATGTTAAAGGAATATCATGATGATGGAAACTACATTATTTGTTGGAATTCGGTCTTGCTTAATGAGAATATGTCTTATGAGGAGGAGCCTATAGCGAATCTAGATAGGGAAGTTCGCAGGTTAAGGTAAAAGGATATTGCATCTGTCAAAATCCAATGGAAGCAACGTCAGAGTAAGGAAGCTACATGGGAAACCGAGAAGGACATGCGAGATAAGTATCCCCAGTTGTTCGACGATTTAAGTACTACTCTACTCTTGCCTTAGCTAGTTTTCCTAGTTTATCACTCGGGAACGAGTGATGGGTAAATTGGTATCTATTGTAACGACATGTTTCCATCGTTAAGGAAAACCCAATGGGGAAAGAATTTGGGCCAGAAAACTTGAGTAGTGACTTGGGAATTCCTAGTCTAGTCCAAATTTGGACAAAATATGAGTTAGGTCAGGTCTAGGAAAATCTGGTAATGAATTAGAAAGTTAATTATGAATTTGATCACATGAGTGGATAGCCAAGACATTAGGGAGATCGTATGGCTTTAGGGAATCAAATTCGGGCGAATAGAACTCCTGAAACTAATCTTAGCATGAACGAGTAGTTTTTGAACGTCAAGGGTTGAAGGTGTGTTGTGAAATGGGAGTTTGGAACTCAAATTCCGACTTTCAATCTCCGTGCAAGCCGTTGGAGCAGGATTAATCTCGTTAGAACGGGGTCGCTGTGACGGGTTGGGTCTCGTTGTGGCGGGACAGTCGCGACTTAAATAAAATAAAAACCCTAAAAACGTTATTTTCTGAAAAACTTTGTTCTTGAGAGCTAAGAGGCAACCCAAGGAAAGTTCTTGACAGTTTTCCACAACTTCTCGCACGAAATGTAAGATTATTACTCCTCTAATCCATTTTTCGATCCGTAGAACTTAGATTCTTGGGTAATTATCATTGGGGGAGGGTTTTTAACTTAAGTTAATGGTGGGAAAAGCCCTAATTGAACATTAGGATGTTGGGTTTGTCCATGGATAGATAGATTGATTATTATACGGGTAAATTATGCCTTTTTTATTGATCCTTGCGTAAATTGATTTTTTTTAGACCAAGAACAAGCGAAAAGAATTAGGAAAGGGAAGGCTCAAGTGTCTTAGGAGGATTCAAGCTTGGTTTCGGGGTAGGTGATGGTTTGATTTTCTGTTTGTGTGATATACTCCAGTTAATGGCTTCATTGTATGTATACATATATCTGAATAGCGATATCTAAATCGAATCTAACACAAATGAGTATATATATAAACAATTACAAGCCATGAAACCATTACTTGATTATATAACAATGAGTGATGTTTATTATAGGTGTGATTGTGATTGTGGTTATGCTGACTGGATCGGGTATCACGTTTCGACACATATATTGGATTGGGTGTCACATTCTGACACATATATTGGATCGGGTTTCACGTTTCGACACATGTATATTGGAATCGGGTGTCATGTTCAAACACACTAACAGTTTGGGTGTGGGTTCCATTAGAGGACCATTGTGATTATTACATTCAGGTCTATTGTCGTTGATATTGGGTATTGTATGTTGCTCTTCAAATGATAACCGATCTATGTACTATGTATATGTGTGTTTACTGTGTTGTGATTTCTTGCCTATGTTTCGCTTATTGGAATAGTCGCGTGATCCTACCAGTACATTGTGGTTTGTGTACTGATACTGCACTTGCTCGTTCATTGTTGAGTATAGGGCATCTTCAGATGGCTACTGATAGACCTCGGTTAAGAGATCAGTAATTGAGACCGGATTCAAGGGTGAACCAGTTCTTTTAGGTTGCCATGGGTCTTCTATTGTTTAGTCCATTCTTTTCGGACCCAAAATTTCTAATTAGATTTACTCGTATGTTTAGTTTTGGGTTTGTACCCTTTTCTCTTAGACTTGTTGGTTAATAATTTTGGTACAATGACTTTCAATTCTAGGGGTTAGCTTCCGCAATAGTTCGTTAGTTGTTTTTGTTAAACTTTTGGAGTTTATGGGAACTCCATATTTCTTTAGTCATTTAAACTTGCGTCCGCTTCTTTTAATACTTAGTTTTTGGTTATGGTGCTTGGTCGGGTTATATTAATGGTTCTCCCACAGGAGGGTTAGTGTGGATGTCAATCACGGCGGTCTAGGTCATGACAATGCATGACCTCAAGCACCTTCTGCAGTTCATCCACAAAGTTTTTTGGATCCTCATTGAGCTTTGACCCAGTGAACTCTGGATGACTTATTCTTAGAAATTCTCGGACTCTTGATGCATCATTCTGCTCTTGATGTTCGGCTCCTTGGTGACCAACTTGTGTTGTCACCACTTGAGTTAACATCTGAATTACGTTCCTTAATTCAGCATTGGTGACATCTTCATGAGGTGGTTGCACTAATGGTTCGTTGGAAATCTCTTGATCTTGAGGATTATTATTCCTCCTAGTAGGACTTCCTCGAACAGCTCTTTGTGGAAGCATGATCTGAAAGAAAGTGAAGTGTTCCCTAAATGTTGTAGACTTCTTAATTATAGATGTGGTGCGCTTCACACCAATAAGAAGGACTCTACAAACACGGCTTCATAGACACCCTATGAATCTTGAACTCTGGGTTCTATACCAACACGACCCGGGCGTACACCCTGGATGTAACTGGCACTCAAGAACCATTTCTGATCCCCAAGCGAACCTTTGGCATGGCTACATGAATTAAATGACACTAAACAATAAGCAGAAGCTTAAAATAGGTGAACACTTACACATTTAAGAAAGTCTTAAAAATACTGTCTTGAGAAATACTTAAGATGAGACATAAGTTAAATAAAACATTATGAGAAAACAATGGGAACATCTAATTCCATCTGTCTATGAAGCCTTTAATAATTCAAGATATATGTCGGGAAAAGATCTACGACACCTAAACTACTACTAAAACTAAAATGAAACTTGAGTCTCACGAAAGTAAGGAGGCCTCACCAACTACTATTTATGAGTGAATAGTCATCTCATCGAAGCGCATGTTGGTGATCATAAGCACTTGTATGTGCATCATAAAACGATGCAGGTCGAATGACGTCAATACATTGAATATATTGGTATGTGATAAGGTTAGTGTAAACAACTTACTGGCTTGAATGACTTAAAACAACGTAAATGGATCAATACATGAATATGAAATTAAAACCATTTAGGCTTTACAATAAAATATACAATGAAAGCAACATGAAAACAATATATTTACTTTGTGGAGAGATTCTCTAATGGATAACCATTACCATGAGCCTAGAAATGATACAACGTTTCTCCCACGTTTCAAGGGCCATCCTATACTTTTCCATGGTATAGGATGATGTCGTGACTATGGATCCATCTAGTATGCCTTCTCAGAGACAGTGAGGAACCGCATGAAGAATTAATTCTATCCTATCCTACGCTAGCTACGTAGTTTTATGGGACTTCTGAGTTATAAAACACTCTAACCCAATTTGGTGCTCGATACTACTCCCAAAATAAGTGATATAACTTTATGCTCAATTGACCCATTAAAAAGAATGGACTTCTTACCTTATTGAAATACTTTTCAAAACATTAGACGTGTTTACATTCTCATCATGCACTTATGAACTTATCTTTCAAGTCCAACAATCAATACAGGTACATATATATATATATATATATATAAAACATTTGAAGTTCTTAAGTTTTATGAAATAGAGCATTTAAACTTTCCCCTTAGCATATGTTAATTTGGAGTGTAAATAAAGACATGTGAGTGGGACATTTAAACTTTCTCAATAATTAATAGAGACTTTAAGAGTTAATATCAAGAAAATATTGAATAAACGATTCAAAGGAAGACATACGGGACGAAGGATGGAAAAGAAAAGGTCAGGCAGCCCTGGCGTATCCATGGTACAACACAGAGAAGGAATTAAATTTTTGGTCACAAAAAGACTTTCGAGACAAGAGAGTCTATGTCCTCTCCACGATGCGAAGAGGGGGTGATTAACTGAAGATGGAAATTTCAAGCGTCTCTGTGACGTGGGCCTGGACGTGAACATTTGGTTGTTTTTCTCTTCCTTTTCAAAACTCACTTTAATTCTAAAAACCCAAATGCAATTTCATTGAAATCTCACCAAATTCTATCAACAAATACAAACCCAATGCAATTTCATTGAAATCTCACTCAAATTCTATCAACAAACACCACTCATTCGCAAAACCCTCACCTCAAGAACTCAAAACCTCCATTGTTAAAGATTGGGACGAAAACTTAAGAACTCTTCAAAAAATCCTTACATAAACAATTTCTTGGACAAATTTAGTGAAGGAACAACATGACTGGAGTGAGAACGAACAAGTCCATCACTATGAGAAACCTCACATACCTATAAAGAACAATGTTTTTTGCCAAATTCCTCAATTCTTGATTAACGCTTGAACTTAGCCATTTCTTCTTCTTGAAACTTAACCCTGAAACCCGTAAGTGTTTTGAACGTGAATGGGGAATTTACAATCTTATTAATAATTTGGGTCAGGAGAACGTGTTAAGATAAGTGGGTTAAAGGAAAAGACCAAAATACCATTTCCTCAAACAGATGGAATGCCTTAAATGGAGAGGCTTAACTCAAACAACCATAACTTTTTACTCGAAGCTCGAAATTTAGCAAACTTGGCGGCATTAGAAAGAGAACTCAAAGACCTTAGATTTGATATCTCATGAGACACCTAACTCTTTATGTGCTAAAATATATGGTCATTTGAAGTTGACCTAAACTTGAAAATTGACCGAAGTTCAAGGTGTTACAGCTACCTGATCAGATACCATGAGAAGCGACCTTTGAACATCCTAATCTCTATAGGAGGGACTGAGACTAATAATATTTTTATTGATGAATCCTTAGCAGATAAGCTAGGGTATGAGTCATATTCAATCAAGCCTCGGACTGTTAAATGGGCTTTTGGAAAATGGTGACTTCCAAAGCATGTAACAACTTTCAAGTCACAGTGTAAGGCGCCCTGTTTAATGTGAAGTTTTATCTGCTTCCATTGTCGTAAAATTGTGAGATGGTATTAGGAAATTAATGGAAACTTCAATTTGACGACAATGGAAGGAGATACAACTTCACATTAAATAGGGCACCTTGCACTGTGACTTGAATGTTGTTACATATTCTGGAAGTGACCATTTTCCCAAATGTGTTGTTAACAGTTCGAGGCTTGATTGGATATAGGTATGACCCTAGATTATCTGCTAAAGATTCATCAATAAATTTATGAGTATTCTCGGTCCCTCCTACAAAGATTAGGAAGTCCAAGGTTCAAGGGATGCCCAACATTGGAGACCAACACTTTTGAAGTTATCTTTTTAGGGCTCACTTTCCCGTGCTACCTTTTTTCCCTTTAGTTTATTTTCACTTTCCATTATGATAAAGTTTTTTGTTCTTTATTTTCTTTGACTCTAAACTCCAAAATGGCAAAAAATAGCTTGATTCAATTATTGTGCATCACTTCTTTGTCGTTTTAGGCCTACCTCTTGCTCAATTTAGTCCTTTGCATTTAGGGTGTTTATTTACTTTAATACTTATGTGACCTTTATTCACTTTTTCAACTCTTTTGTTATTATTGTCATGCTCTGAAAGTAGTGTCACTCTTTTGAGATTTTAAATTTGGTCATGTTTTCTTTTACTTATATTATGTGCCACCTCGTGCTTGTGTTTGATTTATTTCTATTGCTTAAAGGTTGTCTAGTATTTGTACTTTGTCTTGATTGAGAATCAACAATATGACAAATAAGTTCAACATTTGAAAAAAATTCAATCATCCTTCTATTCCTGCTCACACCCTCTCTCTACAAATATCTCCGACACACATCAATTTTGATGCCTTGCAACGGGAGGGAATACATGAAAAAATGGAGAATTGTAAACTAGATGCACTAAAAAGAAGGTGAATGGAAGACTAAACTCAAAACTTGTTCATGACCTAAGGTATAAGAAGTTATGTCTGCACCCAAGAGTTGAATTTCCTTCAGAATTTAAAATTCTAAAATTTAACATGTTTGATGGGGATGGAGACCCAATTGAACATCTCAAGGATTTTTCCTGTAGATTGAAATAATGAAGCTCTCCTTATGCAATTATTTATTCAAAGCTTACAGGATTAGCCTTCACTTGGGACGTTAAACAAGACTTTGACAAATGGCTCACATGGGAAGATATGGCTCGATACTTGGTAGAACAATATAAGTTTAATATTAAAGATGATCCTACAATGTTGGACTTGCTCGAAGTAAACAAAATGAGTCATGAATCTGTTGAGGTATATGTTATCTGATGGAGATTAGAAGCTTCGAAAATATGTCATTCACCTCATGAAGAGGAATTGATCCAAACTCTCATCAAATTACTTGATGGTATATACCCGTTTTAAGGGGAGAGCTAAATCATATTTACTATTACAAACTATAAGCAATTATAAGTCTAATTTCAAATAAGGCAAAAAGAATCAGTCAATTAACGACCCATACATTAATATCATAAATCATCAGGCAAAGGAAATAATTTATTTAAGGAAGAAAGTAAATATAATTCAAAATCATATGTCAAGACAAACACATTCAAACCTATAACACGAATGAGTAAATTCTAGCAGATCCTAAGCAAACTAAAAAGGAAAATATAAGTTTAAAGGTAACCAATTAGTTCAATATGCAATCGATCGCTGAATATAATAAACCAAGAGAGAATTGGTGCAAATTTAGACTAAATGAACGATTATTAATAATAACATTGAGAAAATCAGGCAATTCTCAAATTAAAATGACGGATCTTAACAAATCACACTAAGAAATTCGATAGAAATCAAATAAGGAAACAAACCCGGACATATGGTTGTTAAATCGACATTCTTGATTGTTGTTGTTGACCTCATAGCTGTTGACTGGAGCATTGTTGTTCTTGTCGCCCGGAGTCACCGATCGCCGCTCGCCGCTTGGTGGTCGGAGCCGCTAGAGCTGACACTATTGCTGTAGTTTTCACCGGAGCAAGCGGCGTTTGGGAGGAACGACTGGCGGTGGCCGGAACAGCGGGGCTCGCTTGGCCATTGTCTGCATGACTGTTCTCTAGTGGTTCTCATCGTAAGAGAACAACGGAGGGAGAGAGGAGAAAGAGGTGTGGCACATATGTTCTTCAAGAGGAGAATGAGTTAATAGAAAAGATTATTAGGGTCTGGGTGAATTAATATAGGATAGATTTGGGTCTTTGATCTGAACTGTTGAATTTAAACGGATGAACGGCTATGATTTGATCATGGTGAGATGGAGGGTTCAGATTTAAAGAAGGGGTCTTAGGAATAGGTTATAATTGCAATAAGAATTAAATCAAAGAGAGTAGAATTGAAATGAAATTAAATAGGAAAAAGGGCTACAATTTAAATAATTTACGGAAAGATTGAGTGACTTGCTATTTAATTAATAATAT